TTGTCGACGAATTTGAACTACCCTTTCGCTCATGTAATATTAGATGGCAGAGAGAACCTTAAACGAACGTCACAGGCTACTGTAACTCAAGATACACAAGGCGAACGCGTATTTCAATATATAACTGTATGTAGAGCATAAATTACAAAGCCGTTACAGAACATATGCGTGCACATAAAGAATGTTTGGCAAATTAGCATATTATAACATTGAAATGTCCGCCATTTTGAATAATCAAATCCAGCCGGAGTCAGAAACTCGTTTGTCCAGTTTGACTATGACGTCAGTGTTTTCTCATTGGCTTACAGCCAAGCCTTTTGTTCTTTCGCTTTATAAGTGCGACACCACCCGGATGGTTGGGCGGCCATTTAACTCCACCGCAATATACACATCTCTCATAAAATAATACCTCCTGGATATATAATCATTCTTCCTCAACCATCTCTACAATATCCCCTCACAACCTACATCTCATTAATCCCCCACATATACCTACACAGCCTACATGTCATTAATCCCCCAAATTTACCTACACACCTTACATCTCATTAATCCCCCACATATACCTACACAGCTTACATCTCATTAATCCCCCAAATATACCTACACAGCTTACATCTCATTAATCCCCCACATATATCTACACAGCTTACATCTCATTAATCCCCCAAATATATCTAAACAGCCGTACATCACATTAATCCCCCAAATATACCTACACAGCCTACATCTCATTAATCCCCCACATATACCTACACAGCCTACATCTCATTAATCCCCCACATATACCTACACAGCCTACACCTCATTAACCCGATCCCACATATACCTACTCAACCTACATCTCATTAATCCCCCTCATATACCTACACACCTTACATCTCATTAACCCGATCCTACATATACCTACACAGCTTACATCTCATTAATCCCCCTCATATACCTACACACCTTACATTTCATTAACCCGATCCTACATATACCTACACAGCTTACATCTCATTAATCCCCCAAATATACCTACACAGCCTACATCTCATTAATCATCCACATATACCTACACGGCTTACATCTCATTAATCCCCCAAATATATCCACACAGCCGTACATAACATTAATCCCCCAAATATACCTACACAGCCTACACCTCATTTAATTTATCCCCCACATGTACCTACACAGCCTGCATCTCATTAATCCCCCACATATACTTACACTGCTTTCATCGTATTAATTCCCAACATATATCTACAGGCCGGATTTTTTTTTCCACTTCCGCCGGATTCTTTTTCGTCCTCGCTGGGAGCCTGTTCGCCTAGTTCACTTGCCGTGCATTCAGCCGTTCGAACGGATACCGTAAAAAACGTTTTCGCGTGAGAGGTCACATATTTGCCGATGCATTTTTGTTTTTGAATCGGCAAAGTTCTTCTTTTAACGACGCTTTCAGGGTCGAGAAAGTAACATCGGCGATGTACTTACTTCTTTTTATGTGACGAGTGATTGGTGGAAAAAATTCTCCGTGATGCGTGATTTAAGAGAAAAATTCAGCGTGATGCGTGATTACCACACCTTTGCCACCCTCTAGAGGATCTGATGGACAAATTTTGCAGCTGACGAACGACTAGTCGGAAGATACGTTTATCATACCTGACGACCCGTCCACGCTACGTCGGAGAAATTTGAAAAAGCAGCTTTATTTCTACGGTTTGCCTACCGTCCACACTAATCCGTCATGAAATTGGAGCTTTTCGAAAACGGTCTTCGAACCGGAGGAATTTAAAAACGCCGGCTTTGCGTTCTAGTGTAGAAGGAAAACATTTTGAAAATGGATCGAGCTTTTCGAAATTCACGTTACGATAATCACGTGATTTCCCCGCCCGAGTTTTCGTCAAACATTAATTCAAAATGACCGGTGATTGTTGAGTTTTAAAATTTCTCCAGCTTGGTTTAAACTCAAAACATTTGATGCGTTTTCAGAGTGAAAACGCCGTTTTGAAATTTCTCAGGCGTAGGGTGGACAGAGCTTGAGATACGAGAAAAAGACTCCGTCGCTAATGGTATAGCTCGCAAAACTGAATTTGTACCGTCTTCAGATCTTTTACTATGCCATTTTTCGAAAGTAGTAGGGGAATTTTCATGAAGTTCATGCTTTCCTTTGTCGGTGTACTAACGGTTCTAAAATTTATATAAAATTCATGAAAATAAATTTACTGAAAAAATACTCAAGAAAACCGGGTTTTTCCCAGCCCCCGCTGAGGTGACAAAATTAAAATTGCGCCTTGTAGTGACGTCATGAGTTGGCGCCATTGTACATTCAAGCCCTTATTTTTCTCGATCGACGAGCGATGGTGTGTTTTTGATGCAGCTGATTTTGGGATTTCGGCTCATCTCATTTCGTTACTGTCTAGAAGGCTGACCAAACATTGGTGAGACTCGATTCCATGTTATGCTGCAGCTTTGAAGCGTTAAGTTGTATTCGATGTCAAATTTCGTCTGTTCGATCGGTTATTCTGGTTTTAATTTGGTGTCTGCAGGAGCAAACTGTCATCGAACTGTACTGAACTACGGTACACTGTACCCAAAACATTATCAGAGCAAAATATTGTTTTTTCAAGTTGTAGATCTTGTATGACTCAAACCTTTTTCTTTTGTTCACAGGCTCAAATCGTTGTTATCAACCTGGCCGTACGCGTATCTGATAAACTTCCTGCAGCCATGTTTGTCTTCATCGCGATTTGCAGTGCGTGTATAACCTTAACCGCAGGGGAAATAAACAAGTAAGCTTTAGAAAGAAAGTGACATGAAGCTTAATACACATTTTAAACATTAACTGTGATATAATACGACTTTAATTTGGGTCATTCTGATTGGAAATAAAAGACCCCGCTATCCAGGGTGCAGTACGTTCGATTTTACTCGAATGAGCTGTAGCTACCTCCTCATTTGCATATTCGAGATCCCGGGCAAGCAAGCTACAATTTCGGCAAACTACATTTACATGTAAGCTTACATCGATTATTAAAATCACCTGTTCTCCCATATATAAATAAGCTCAAGCTATATGGACGGTATGTGCCGCTGTGAAGGGTAGGGTTTTCAGGCAGTTTAGTCCAGATGGGATTAGGGTATAGAAATCAAATCAAATCAAGACTTAATTTATCCACGGTAAAGATTAATCAGTCAGACAGAAATCAGTCGGACAGTTTTGATCTAGAATAGGGCATAATTTAGTGTATAAATTTAGTGTATAAAGTGGCCAGTGTATAAATAATTTAAGTCTGCAACAGGATTCTTTGTCTGGGGTTCTAGAATGGAAAAGGAAACTTGTAAGTGACTTTTAAGATATTGGTTTTATAGTTAGCTTATATGTTGAACTACGATAGTGATAGAAATTGCTAGTCTGGGATAGGGTAGGGGTTTTTGATGCCTATAGTCTACAATAAGGTTGCCAAATCAGTTTGATCATGGTCCGGTATAGGGTAATGGTTTCAGTGTCCCAGTGGCATATGTCCGGGGGGGCACCGCCATATATGGGCTATATAGCAGTTTACTCTAGGATAGGGTATATAAATCAGAGCGTTTGGGTCTAGAATAGGGTATCATTTTTCACAAAACTGACTGGTTGGTTGAGGATTTTATCTAGATTAAGGAAACCAGGAATTGCCACTCAAAAATATACAAAAAATTAAATCGGCAAGTTTAAATTTACGCAAATCAGCCTCAACAGTGTCGATAGATGGGTGGATTTGGGTAGTTTACTCTAGTATGGGTTAGCAAAATTCAGCTGAACTATCTCTGGTATAGGCTAAGGGTTCCAGGGTCCCAGCGGCACATCCCCACCCAGAAATTCCCAAAGTACCTCCCCCAGGGGCATATGGCATACCCCTTCCCAGAAGATTTACAAAGTACCCCCCCCCCC